TTGATTACCCTCTGAGTAAAGAAAAATTCCTGTCATCTGTCCTGAAATTGTCCTCTTGTTCTGCTATCTTGATGAATCCTAAAGTATTGATCTGGGTTCACTTTTTGAATACCATTTTTAATTCTGCACACCTCTATTAAGTCACCTCAGAATCGTCTTCTAAAGACTGAAGAGCCTCAGCTTGTCTAATTGTTGCTCTTAGCTCATTTCTCCAACACTAGGGATGATCCTGATTGCTCTCTTCTGCACTACCTCCAGAGCCTGGGTAGCCTCATGTAGTGGTGACCAGAACTGGATGCAGTATTCACAGTGTGGCATTTTGCATGTTTTCTAATGACCTTGAATCGTACTCACTGTTCAGGTTCAGTTCCTTTTTGAGTGATTATACTGACTGACCACTTGTAGCCGCTTGTGTTAATGGGTTCCACACCCCAACAAGCCTCTGAGTGAACCTCTTCCTGCTTTTAAGAATAATAGTAATCCTTGCATCTGATATAGCGCCTTATGATAGCACACAATTGCGCAGAGCTGTGTCCCACAAACCGTTGTGGGATTGAATGACCAAATTATTGTGTATTTTTGAAAGGATTATTACACCGGAAAACAATCCGCCAATCGACTAACAACCGCGTTTCCATTTATTGCTGGGTAGACAGCGGTGTGTGGAGTAAGCAAACTGGCGTAAGGTTTTGCCCCGCCAGGGAATTGAACCCAGGTCCTCTCACTTGTCAAGCGAGTGCTCTAACCAATACGATACAGGATTGCAAGATTGAGTCCCTTTCATTCACAAGATTAAGTGCATGCTCCCTTATCACCAATCCCCTGAACTGAAGTAAAGTATGAAGCTTGCACCAGATATTTCTGGACTAAACAGGCACTTGAGTGTTAAACTATGACGTAATCTGACTCTTCCACTCGCTGGGTTAAAATAATTGAAGGTTACCATCAAACATTCCAAATGTAGTTCACAGTCTCATTTCCTGACCCGTTCAGCTTTGCTCATTTCAATTATAAACATGTTTGGAATGCTCCAGGATGAGAGAAATCAACCCACATTGGCTTAATTTGGACCCTTGGTTGTTCTTTTTTAAAAAGAAAATGCAGCTCCTCCCTTTAATGTTGTTCTAAAAAAATTTTTAAGCATCATTTTACTATTTTTAAAAAATCAATAACGATGTTAATAATAATCCTTGCGTTTAATATAACGCCCGAGTACGTCACCAGAACATCTCAGTGCTTCACGGGATTTTACTGTAAAAGATAATTGACTGTTTATTTGTAAGTGAACACGGCAGCCAACTTGCGCACAGCAGTATCCCAAAACAGCCACGGAGTAGCTAACTTTCAGTTTGTGGAAAGTGATTCTATGGTTGGTGTGATGAGTACTTGTTGTCTCTGCTATGCTGATGTCTCTGCTGAAGACATTTCTTTTCGACCGCGCCTTTGGTCATCTTCCTCCCCCTCCCCCTGGCTCGGTCCCGGGATCCGTTACTGTGAATCACTCTGAGACACCATCCGGCGTGGAGGGCACTATATAAATCCAAGTTGTTGTTGTTGTTCACATGTTGGTCCATAGAAATAATTACTTTGTGTGTCTGGAAGGAGGTGGGTGGGGTGGCGGTAAGCAAAAGCAGGGTGGGGAGGGGGAAGTTGTTCTGGGCTCCAGCGTAATTAAAACAATATTACTTTGCGCAACCAACTTCTAAAACTAAGATACTTAAAATAATATAATTCATGTTTGTGGGACACTGCTGTGAGCAATGACTGCTGCATTTCATCCACAAAACACATTCAATCCACTTGACAATATATTCTGCAAATCGCTTTGAGGCTCCATGATGTGGTAAGACGCTATATCAAATGCAAGGATTATTATTATTACTCCTGATCAGGATCTTGAGCAGATTGTGGTGATTATTCTGCAATAAATAAATCTCTAATCACACTATAGTTTTGGTTCTGTCACTGTATGTGAACAGAAGCACATTGGGTTCAGGTAGCAAGGATGGAAGTAATTCCAGATCCTGCAAAGAGTCCCTGTTAACTCAGTTCAGGAATCAATGCCATAAAATAGACCCCAATGTCACTGTTATTGGTTCAAGAGGCAACAAGTTGAGTTTCTCGTCCTTTGGATGAGACGTTAAACTGAGGTCCCGTTTGCTGTTCAGGTGGACATTAAAGATCCCATGGCACTATTCGAAAAGAGAAGAGAGTTTCTCCCAATGTCCTGGCCAATAATCCCCCAAATAAAATTCGTCACTTGTTTCATAGCTATTTGTGACATTGCTATGCACAATTATGCTGCTGCATTTGTTTACAAATAAATACATAGTCACTTCATTTCACAGCAAATCCTGTGAAGTGCTTTGAGACATAGTGAGGTTGATGTTATGAAGGAGAGAGAAAGATGGCCTGGGAGTAGAAAAGACCGTCAGAGTGACAAAGGATAGGGCTACGGGTCATGACCCAGCAATGGGTAGGCTTGGTGGGCTTACTTCTTCTGAAAAGAAAATCTCAAGTTCCTAAAACTACTGATATGTTTGACTGTGTTATGGATGTCCCTGAGCATCAAGCTATGAAAACAACTTGAAGTTGGAAATCCCTTCCCAGGCCATTCCCATAGTGTGAAATTCCTGGGATTTAATTGCTGCCTCTTTACCCTCATTTCAGTGCAACGAAGCATTGACTGTTCCCATTGATCGTGGTCTGACCTAAAGCAAATGCTGTTTCATTTGGTGTTGAATATAACTGTCAGTCAAGGTCTGGTACCCAGGGATGGAAGTTAATGAACTATGTGCAATGGAAAGTTTTCATGGAGAGTTCGCCCAGTACGCACTCCATTCTGTGATAATGAGAAAGCCTGGACTTGAAAGTCACGCTTACCATGCCTAATCTGTTTAAGGTTCTTGCATTTGTTCAACTGGTTATGCGTTGGTTGCTAGGATCTAAGGACTAAAATTCCAACTGGTCTTAGCCTCCAAGACTATTATTGTGTCTTTAAAATTTAGGATTGTGCAGAAATGCGGAAATTTTTTTAAATCTCTATCATCATCTGGAAGCCGCCTCTTTGTCAGTAAAGCAGAAAGCTAGCAGTTTGAATAGCAGTGATCTGGGTTTGCACATTTGCTTTTGAGATAACCTTTGCTATGCTTGTCAGATCTTTCACTCTCCAGACTCCGATAAGCCCTTTGGCTTTGGTGTGATTTCGGTTATTATGCTAAAGAGATGTAGCCCTATCCTTTGTCACTCTGACGGTCTGTTCTATTCCCAGTCTATCTTTCTCTCTCCTTCATAATTTACAATCCCTTAGAAAACTGATCGCTGCTGCATTTGAGGTAACCAGTCACTTGCCATGTCCTGTTCACCTTTAAATGTTGTGACTTTGGAGAACATAATTTTTAGCATGACCTATTCCTCTGGTTATCGTCTTATAATAATAATAAAAATTATAATCCATGCACTTCATATAGAGCCTCATCACGTCAATGACTTGTCTCAAAGTGCTTCACAGAATATGTTGCAAAGTGGATTGACTGTATATTTTGTGGATGAAATGCAGCAGTCAATTGCACACAGCAGTGCTCCCCAAATAATCATAGATTGAATGACCAGATTTTCTTGTCTGTGTTGCTATGCTCTCCTCTCAGATTCTCTATTGCATTGTCATCAATATTTGCCAAGCCTTTGACTCCTTCTGGTACGTGCTTGTAGTTTAGTACTGAAGTTGCACTTGTGCTTAGCCAATTTCCTCTGTAATCACTGTTAACCAGAGTGGATAATTCATGCACTTTCTCTTTATCCATCAACTCAGACTTGACCCTTGATTCACCTCCACATCAGTGGCCTTCTCTGCTCTTTACCAATAGCTCTTGCTGAAGTTTTCACTTAACATTTTGATGTTTTCTGCATGATCACAGTCTAAGCTGTCATTGCTCCTCTTAACACTGCAAAGGCTACATCACTGAACCATAAAGTGGGAAGAGAAAAAAGACCACAATACAGTACTTACATGATGAGTTGGATGAGCAAATATTAGACTGATACTGTGGTGCATTATCAGGGGTCCTATCTGCCTGTTCATTTGAATGTTAATGTGGAGGTCTGTAGCTCAGTGGTTAGAGCACTTGCATCGCAAGCGAGAGGACCTGGGTTCGATTCCTGGGGAGGACGAAACGTTGGGCAAGTTTCCTTACTCTGCATGCCTCTGTTTACCTAGCAGTAAGTGGGAACCCGGTTGTTAGTTGATTGACAGAGCACTTTTCTGGGATTAATAATCCCTTAAAAAAAATAAAAAAAACCTGTAATAATAATTTGGTCATTCAATCCGCAACTGTTTGTGGGACACTGCTGTGCGCAATTGGCTGCCTTCGTTTCACCCACAAAACATACAATCAATTCACTTTACAGTATATTCTGGGCTTTGAGACATCTTGAAGACACGATAAGGCATGATATCAAATGCAAGGATTAATATTAAGATCCCATGGCACTATTTGAAAAGAAAAAGGTGTCCTGGCCAACAATGCCCAGATAAAGTTGGTCGCTCATTTCATGGCTATTTGTGGGTCACAGCTCGGTGCAAATTGGATGCTGCATTCGCTGACAAATCGTCACTACTTTTAACAGTAATCTTCAAGTGTTTTTGAGACGTTCTCAACATTATAGACACTATATCAAATGCAAGGGTTATCATCAATAGCCTTTTTCCCTTCCATACATTCTGCTCTTCCTTTGATTTTGCAGTAATCTTAGTAACATTTCTCTGCCTAATATTATCACCCATTATTTGGGCTGGCCAGATCTTTGATTTATGTAGTTGGACACAAAATGATGATGATAAAAAAAATCCTTTATGTGGTAAATTGCTTTTGACATGGGAAGGACATCTCAAATGTCTTCACAGGATTTAGGGTAAAGTGTATCAAATGTGTTTTAGGCAAACATTTGGCTATTTCCAGCAAATGCTTTGATCATGGTCTGCAATTCTGTTTTTTTTGTAGGCCGGACCTGATAGATATGAGCCAAGTAACTGTTCAAAGTAACCTCTCAAATCTGGAACATGCATTTGGTGTAGCTGAGAAACTTGGTGTTACCAGACTCTTAGACCCAGAAGGTAAGCTGGAGATTTTGTTACACTGATCCACTGCAGCATGGGTGAAGATGAAAAACTAATCGAAGCATCTGATTTACTGATAGACTACACAAATCCTCTCATTTAGTCATATACACATTGCAGAATCTGTACAACTACATAAATTTAAAAACGCATTCCATAATCTCACTACCCTCTGCATGAAGAAGTTCCTCCTCAATTATCTTTTAGATCCCCTAGTCACTATCTTATACTTGTGCTCCTGGTTATAGACTCCCTAACAAGTAGGAATTTATTAATGCCTATTTATGCTAACCTTATCAAAACCCCTTTATAATTTTGAACACCCCTGATAAATCCCCTCTTAAACGTCTCGTCTGAGCGAAGAATCATTTTACCTTATTTGTCGGTTGGTGCAAATGCAGCTTTAGAGAAACGATGCTGTTTCATCATACTTGTCTCCTGTGTTTTCTTACACTGACATTTTGCTGTTTTCTCAGATGTTAATGTCCCATCCCCTGATGAGAAGTCTGTGATCACTTACGTGTCTTCGCTCTATGATGTTTTTCCTAAGATCCCCGAAGGTGGTGAGGGCATCAGTGCGAACGTAAGCAATTTCAAACCATCGTTCAGTATAAATACTATATTTAGATATCAAAATGTGTGTATATAACATTGGGTGGTTATAAATCATGTGACATGGTGATGGTCACATTTTGCCCCCCAGTTATTCTTCCTGTGCCACTTCCAGTTCCTGACCAGTATTGCCTACAACTCCTCTGACACATCGTCTGCTTTCGCCCCTATCTTACTTCAAACACTGCTGAAACCATTCATGTTTTCGTCACTTCCCGCTTTGACTTTTCCAATGCACTCCATGACGGATACCCCAGCTCAACTATAAACAAGGTCCAAATACTATAAAACTCTGCCGGCTGTACTCACCCTTACCAGGCTCCATCATCCCAGTTCTTGCCAGGCTCCTTTGTTGTTCCTCTGTTGCAGAACGGATCGATTTCAGGATCCTCACTGTAGCTTTTGAATCATTCCACACCTGGCACCTCCCAACCTCTCTGATCTGCTCACACCCTAATCCACAACTCGCTGCCTTCGCTCTGCTGACTTGGGTCTTCTTCTCTCATTCCCCCTAGTCCACCACTGGCTACCGTGCCTTCAGCCGCCATGCCCCGAATCCCTGAAACTCATTGCCTCAATCCCTCCATCATGCCCCCTCTTTGCTGTCTGCAAATCACACCTGAAGGCTTTCCTCTTTGACCATGCCTTTGGTCACTTCCCCTCTCTTCCCACTCGGCATCAGCCATTACGTGCATGAAGGGCGCTATATAAATGCAAATTGCCGTTGTTGAAATACATCGTCACCATTTCAGACCAATAGATACAATGCAATACGCTGTGTTATAGCTTGACTTAATAGTTGTGTTTTACACAATGCACCCCATTTAAAACATCACCCCAATTGTCTTGTATCGTATTATACACCGTTAAAATATTAACCAGTCGTCTGTTACATGAATTATATCTTAACTTCTTTTTGTTGGGTTGGCTGGTTCTGCTAGGATGTTGATGTGAAGTGGATAGAATACCAGAACATGGTAAATTACCTCGTCCAGTGGATCAAGCACCACGTCACAGTCATGTCAGACAGGAGCTTTTCAAACAACCCTGCAGAACTTAAGGTGAGATCAGCCTGAATGGCTCCAGGTCCTTGGGGAAAGTTTCCGTTCAAATGTACTTTTATAGACTTAATTCGGTGGCATTATGGAAAACTAATTTTTGAAGTATATGCCAGCATTTAAAAGTGTTCTTGAGAACCTTTGGATTTTTATTTCTTATTAATAAAGCCCAAGGTCTAAGCAAATATGGAGTCCTGTTGCATATTGGTTAGAGTACTCGTCTAGTAAGTGAGAGGACCTCGATTCCCGGGCAGTAATGTGTCACGCAGGAGTGAAGAGGAAAAGGTGGGTCAGGTTGAAGTCTCAAAAGCTGCAGTGAGTTTAGACTGGACCAAATTGTCTATTAATGTTATATTAATATGAAGATAGAGCTAAGGTCAAATGTCTTTAACATGAGAGGAGGCAATATAATCCGTGGTTGGTCATCTCTTTACAGGCACTTTATAACCAATACATACAGTTCAAAGACACAGAAATCCCACCAAAGGAGAGAGACAAAGCAAAAATCAAATGTCTGTACAAATTGATGGAGGTAAGTGTGGGTGAATTCAATAACTGCTCAAGCTATATTAACTGCAAGGATTATTATCAAGCCCTGTTCGACATTCTATGGCTATTGCTTTGCCAATGTCCCAAATGTGGCTGCTATTGAATGTAAAAACATGGATTAAAATTGTAAAAAATGTATTTATTTGGGCCGTTAGTATTGAGGAAGTCAGTCCTTTGGGAAGAGGAACTCCCAAGCTTTTTAATCTGAAACCAATTCACAAAAGTTACTTTGTCTCTGGGTTAGTGCTGTAGTCAGTTCATATAATGGTTTGTAGCTGTGTGATACTGGAAGGGACATTAAGCACTCTCTCAAGGTTTAATCATCTCCTGCTTGATTAGAAGTCCAGAGTTAACATGTTCTTAGCCTTGGGTTCATTGTCATTTTGAAAAAAATCTGGGTCTAACTTCACTATTTATTTATGTAATATTTTAGACATTCAAAATTTGGCAAATTGTGGAATTCAGTCTTTGTGTCATTCATCGGTTTTGTGTCATTCATAAAATAACTTAGCGCAAATTAGCTGCTACGTTTGCCTACAAAACAGTCACTGCACTTTCTGGTTAAAAAAAATATTTTGTTTTGATGACTTGATCTGACATGGATTATTATCGAGGATTACTATTATTAATTTATGGGAAACAAGTTTCAAAATTAAGGCTGTATTTAAGAACAGTCAGAAATGCTCCATAAGTAAAAATTTAATTTGGAATTTGGTGGAATTTCTTCCCATAAGGCGGTTCTTAAATTAAATTCCACCTAAATTTGAAGAATATTTTTTTTCACTGTTCTTTTTGAGGGGCTGCAGAAAACTGACTCCAGATATAAGTCTGAATTCAGGACTTTTAGGACCTGTGGTCTTATGACGAAAACAATCATGCTGGTCATTGCAGTTAAACATTTATTACATTTCAAAATATTGTTAGTCATTGGCGTCTAAAGATCATCACTTCTCATCAGGATTCACTAACAGTGATGCACTCACTGATGGGACATACTGCTGGTAACCAGCAATACGTCTTGGCCAGGTATCAGCCTGTCTCAGTTGGAAGTACTCTCGCCTCTGAGTCAGAAGATTGTGTTTCAAGCCTCACATTGAGATTTTGAGAACAGTGCTGGAGGTGCCATCCTTCAGGTGAGATGTTAGACTGAGATGTCCTGCCTGTTCAGGTGGGTATTAAAGATCCCATGGCACTATTCGAAAAGGGAAGGGAGTTTCTCCCAGTGTCCTGGCCAACAATCTCCCAGGTAAAGTTGGTCACTCACTCTAGAGACGTTGCTGTGTGTAAATTGGCTGCAAAATACACAGTCACTGCATTTGACAGTAAATGATTCTAGATGTTTCAACAGTGTGATAAGGCACCAGATCAGATGTAAGGATTACATATTTGTTTAACTTTTGAGAAGCGTGGCTCTTCGGAGCAGTCAATTGCTTACCAGACCGGATTTGGATTGCGGTTACTGGGTCAACCACTGCCTTATAGACCCTGGATCAGAAAGATTTTGAGTTTGTTACAAATTAGTAGTGGTGGGCTGCTTGGAAAAACATTTAATCTAAAAAAACACTTTTTTATTGAACAGGTGTGGATAGAATTTGGTCGTATTAAACTTCCCCAAGGGTATCATCCGAATGATGTGGAGAAGGAGTGGGGCAAATTAATAATCGCCATGCTGGAAAGGGAGAAGCTACTGAGGCCTGAAGTGGAGAGGTTAGTGGAACGGGTCTGGTTTGGAGTAATGCAGAGATATTGGCCCAAACTGTTTGCTTGCTCAATCAGTGTCTATGGCTTCAGTGTGGTTACATAACAACAACTTGCATTTATATATCGCCCTTCATGTCGGACAGCATCTCAGACTGCTTAACAGTAGCTGAGCCTGATCCCGATCCGGGGGAGGGAAGTGACCCTAAGCATGGTTGAAGAGGAAGGTCTTCAGTTGTAATCCAAAAGAGGGAAAGATGGGAGCAAAGCTGAGGGATTGGAGGAGAGAGTTCCAAAGCTGAGGGGTGTGGTGGTTGAAAGCATGACCACCGAAGGATGAATTGATACTCCTAGCAAACGAGCAAATGGGGAAGTTAGGAAAAACTTTTTCCACACATGGAGTAGCTATGATGTGGAACGCCCTGCTGGGAACTTTGGTTGAGGCCGAATCCAAATTGAAATAGATCTGTATTGTAAATTTCTGTAGTTTTATGAGTAGTCGTGTCCTTAGTGAGAACTGACAATGGGGCTCTCTTACCTGCTTAAATTCTAAGATAGCGGCCTTAAAAGCTAAGAGTGTGAGGAATTTACCAGGTTACCCTACCTGGCTACCTGTTCCAGATGCAAAGAAATACTTCTGTCTCAAAATTGCCTTTCGTAACACTGCATCCATGACCTCTTATCTTGCTGCCTCAGCATATATGAAACTATTGTTCTGGGTTTACTTCAACCCATTCAGTACCTTACGACAGCAATAACAACAAAAACGACAAGATTACATTTGTATAGCGCCTTTCATGTCGGGAGGATGTCCCAAGGCTTGTTGGACAGTGTACAGCATTTCAGACATGAGTTGGGTCAGGGGGGAGAGGGGAGGGAAGGGGATGACCTATGGCATGTTTGAAGAGGAGGGTTTTGAGGTGGGACTTGAAGGAGGCTAAGGAGGAGGCGAGGCGGACTGATTGGGAGTTGGAATTTCAGAGGTTGGGGCAAAGTGGCTGAAGGCTCTCCCGCCAATGGTGGGGCGGATGGGTTGGGGAACGTGGAGCAGGCCGGAGCCGGCTTTGCGGAGGGAACGGACGGGTTGGTAGGGGGTTAGGAGGTCGCAGAGGTAGGGTGGGGGGAAGGCCATGGAGGGCTTTGTAGGTGAGGACCAGGATCTTGAACTGGATCCTCTGACGGATAGGGAACCAGTGGAGTCGGGCGAGAATGGAGGAGATGGGGTCAAGGAGTTTGGTGCGGGAGAGGACACGGGCTGCAGAGTTCTGGATTATCTGCAGCCTGTGGAGGGAGGAGTTGGGAAGGCCGACAAGCAGGGTGTTTGCATAGTCGAGCCTGGAGGTGATGAAGGCATGAACATGAGGTTCAGCGGCCTGAGGGGTGAGGTAGTGGGGGAGTCGGGTGATGTTACGGAGGTGAGGGAAGGCAGAGTGGGTCATGCCTTGGATGTGGGGAAGAAACGACAGTTGAGGGTCGAACAAGACATCTAGGTTCCTAACTGGCACGATGCTGAAACTCTGGTCCACGCCTTTATCACCTCAAGGCTGGACTATGGGAACTCTCTCCTCGCCGGCCTTCCCGCACCTCCCTCCACAAGCTGCAGGTCATTCAGAACTCTGCAGCTCGTGTACTGTCCCGCACCAGACACCGCGAACCCTCACTCCCACCCTCGCTCACCTCCACTGGCTCCCCATCCCCCAGAGGATCGAATTCAAGATCCTCACCCTCACCTACAAGGCCATTCACGGCCTTGCTCCCTCCTACCTCTCCGACCTACTATCCCCCTACCTACCCGCCCGTACCCTCCGTTCCTCTGGCTCCGGTCTGCTCCACATCCCCCGCCCCAACCGCCCTACCATCGGTGGTCGGGCCTTCAGCCTCTCAGCCCCGAGGCTCTGGAACTCCATCCCCCAGTGCCTTCGCCTTGCCTCCTCCCTTTCCTCCTTCAAGGCCGGTCTCAAGACCTTTCTCTTTGACCGTGCCTTCAGCTCCCCTCTCGACTCTCTACCCCTCCTCGCTCCCTCCCTTCCTCCGCTCACCCTGACCATTTCCCCCTTGCTCGGGTCCTGACCCAACTGTACAGCGCCTTGGGACGTCCTCCCGACGTGAAAGGCGCTCAATAAATGGAATCTTGTTGTTGTTGTTGTTGAGTTGTAGTGTGCAGCCATGGGGTTGATCCTGCCAGAGCCTGAGGTGCAGAGGCTTATATCAGAATCTCTCTTAAGACATGTCATCTCAAGGCTACAGAGCTGTAGCTTATCTTTGTGCGGGCATTATTTTACCTTCAGATGGAGACAGCCTCAATTTATTGCAGATCTATCTTTCAAATTCATTGCAGTTCACTGCACTTTCTTGCAAAAGGTGATCCATTTGTTCAGCGTTTTGTGGTAAGGTTGATGTGAAGAATATAGAAATGCATGTACTTTATGCGACGCAATTAATCATTCCTTGTTGGAGCTCATCTGTGTCCAGATCTGTGTCATCTCATCTGTGTCACTCAACTTTACAGTACATTCTGTGAAGTGCTTTGAGAGATCTCAATGACGTGATAAGGTGCTATATCAAACACAAGGATTATTATTATTATTACTTTTTTCAAAAAAGAGGGTTGGAGTTAACTTGGGCTGAGACCCAGAATACACATTACATTCCAGGGCCCGTTTGTAAATATAGGATGTTTAAGACTTGTGTTTGAGGAGTTGAATTAATGCCAAGCATCACAGAAAGTCTTCAAGTGGAGTTGGTGTTGAAAGTCTTGAACTAACATCTGGAGTGAAAGTCAATTATATTTTAATTTGTTATTTCTTGCAAATAAGCGACACCTCACCTACAAAGTTAATTACACAGACTGTACAGCACCCAAACTGGCCATTTGTCCCAACTAGTCCGAGCCAGTGGTTATGATTATAATGGAACTAGTCCCACTCCCCTACTCTTTATTAGTCCCACTCTCCCACTCTTGCCCAATTGCAAGGGTGTGGGATTAATGAAGGGACTTTCAAAGAGCTGGCACAGGTACGATGGGCCGAATGACCTCTTTCTGTGCTATAAGATTCTATGATTCTACAATTCACATGAGCTTCCACCCCTCCTCATCCACTCTTCCCTCACCACTGTATTCCCTCCTCTGTGTTTAATGATGAAAAGAAATTTAACACAGAAAGGTTAAAAAACCTAACGCCTGTCTAAGATAGTTACTACCATCTCCGAGTACATGTTAGAGTACCAGTATTCCTCTCAGAAGGTTAATATCTCGGTGCGCTTTACAACGTTTACTGAGTTAAAGAGGGAGATATGACCATAGGTGTGGTTGAATCCATTAGAATCCATTAGAATATAAGGCACAGAAATAGGCCATTTGGCCCAACTGGTCTATTCCGGTGTTTATGCTCCACATGAGCCTCCTCCTGCCTTTCCTCAACTAAGCCGATCAGCATAACCTTCTATTCCTTTCTTCCTCATGTACCTTTCTAGTTTCCCCTTAAATACATCTACGCTATTTGCCTCAACTACTCCTTGTGGTAGCAAGTTCCAGATTTCCACCGCTCTCTGGATAAAAATGTTTCTTCTGACTTCTCTATTAATTGGTGACTATTTTATATTGATAACCCTGTTTTTGGTCTCCCCCACAAGTGGAAACATCTTCCGTATGTCTACCCTATCAAAACCTTTCATAATTTTAAAGACTTCTATTAGGTTACACCTCACCCTCCTCTTTTCAAGAGAAAAGAGTCCAAGTATGTTTAGCCTTTCCTGATAGGTATAAACCTCTCAGTTCCAGGATCATCCTTGTGAATCTCCTTTGTATCTCCTCCAGTGCCTCTATGTCCTTTCTAAAATGTGGGGACCAGAACTGCACACAGTATTCCAAGTGTGGTCTAACCAAGGTTCGATGTAAATTTACCATAACTTCCCTGCTTTTCATTTCTAGTCCTCTAGAAATGAACCTCGAAGTGGTAGGTTTTAAGAAAAAATAGAGAGAGGGTGAGTTGGAGGGATAGAGGAGGAAATTTCGGAAGTTAGTGGGTAGAATCACAAGGCTTGACCACCAATGGTGGTGTGGAGAGAGCAGGGATCTCTTGACAAGATGAGGTTATGCAGGGGTAGAGCAGATGAGTAATAATAATAATAATAATAATCCTTGCATTTGATATAAAGCTTTTCACATCTTCTAGACGTCCCAAAGCGCTTCACAGAATATACTGTAAAGTGAATTGACTGTATATTTGTGGGCGAACGCGGCAGCCAATTGCGCACAGCAGTGTCTCACAAACAGTCGTAGATTGAAAATGACCAATTTATTATTGTTTTGTTTTGGAGGGATTATTATTAGACTCTGTGTGGAGTAAGGAAACTTGCCTAAGGTTTCGCCCTCTGCCTGGAATTGAACTCAGGTCTCTCGCTTGCAAGGCGAGTGCTCTAACCACTGAGCTACAGGACTCCACGAATCTGAAATGCGATCAGAGAGATAGTGAAGTGGTAGGGCATGGAGGGATTTATAGGTCAGGGCGAGGATCTTGAAATGAATCCACTGGGAAATGGATGTAATGGAGTCTGGCGATGACTTGGGTGATGGGCGTGTGGAGTTTGGTGTGGGTGAGGATCTGTGTGGCGGAGTTTTGGTTAGTGATATGGAGGATAATTTCCCACGAGATAAATTTTCTTAGCAGCTCAAAACATGTAGAATTTGGCAAATTGTTGAATTCAGTCTTTCCTTTTGAAGTTACTTGAAAGAACTTATAGAAAACCAGGTTTGAAATTTAAGATTGCATTGAAGAATTTGCCAAATTCTCTATCTCTGAACTAAAAAGAAAATAGTATTGCATTTCGTGAAGCCCTATGATCACATTGATCATAGGGCTTCACAGGGTTTTCTTTTAAAGCAACTCACTGTGTGTTTGTAGAGTAAATTGAGAACCAGGTGGAATTTATTCTCCCATCGTAAGTGCAGAACTTTTTGTGTGTGTGTGTGTGTGTGTGTTTCTCTCTCTCACTCACACACTCGCACTCCACTTCCCAGTTTAGAGCCAGTGAGTGTGTGGGTATTTCCCTCTCTCTCTCTCCCGCCCACTCTCCCCAGGCTAGGGTGTGGGTGTGCGTGCTTGTGTGAGTGTGTGTTCCTCTCTCTCTTCTCCTCACTTTTCCTCAGGCTAGAACAAGTACAAAATGGGCTTTCAGCCCGTACTGTTATTGTTGAAAGTGATCCTGAATTGTCTTCAGCGCCGTGTAACTTTTGTGGTGTGGATTGTGGTCGGGCAGGGCAGTGAAAAGTAGGGCGTACTTTGCTTTGAATCGTGCTTAAAAAAAAATAGACACCAAAGTGACCTGAGCAGGTATGCGTGCCCTGAAGCGCATTCCTGAACGATTGATCAGAATATTAATGCTCAATCTTTTCTCACTGCCCTGCGAGCAGAATCTGGTCTCTCTCTCTCTCTTTCTCTCTCTCTCTCACTCGCTTGTCTCACCGGCAGCAGCTATTTAAAGCGACGCCTTGTGTGAGGAGCTCAGTGCTCCTCTTGTCAGTCACTCCCTGTGCCGGGGCCGGCCGAGAGGCTAAGCGTCTTGTCTCTGGCCGGCTTGCCGAGGGTTGAAAATGAACAGTGGGTCGGTGGCCTTCTGCGGCAGCTCCCCTCTGTGGAGCAGCGCTTGCAATCTCGTCAGCTCCACGGACAGTATTTACTCCAACAGCTCCGCGCGGACGCCCATCAGCTCGTGGACATCTCTGAGCAGCGACTCGGAAGGGTGCAGGTAACACAGCTACAGCCAATGGTGAAAAGAACAGCTGGTTTCAGAGTGGCAGAGGTCATTGATGTTTCCACCCTCCCCTCACTGCGCGCATTGAATTTCTGTACGTGATCTTCAATGTTGCCAGTGGCTGCTTTTTACTGGTGGGTGCGAGAGAGAGAGAGAGAGAGAGGAATATAAAGCAAGGAAACTGTTGATGTGAGGGTAGGTTAATGTGTGTTCAGTGAGCCCTGTTCTAATTGTTTCCCAAGGCTTCTCTTAACGATGACCGACGAGACCAGAGAACCTCATCGAAATGAGCTGCCGCTGTGTGACTGGAGCCACGACACTTCTCATGGCCGTGACCCATTTCATCTCAAGTTTCGAGATCGTGCCCGATTGGAGCAAATTTAAAATCATTCTTACGGAACGATAGAAATTCATAGCACAGAAACCACACCATTCAACCCGCGTTCACCTACAAATTACATTCATTATACTTGGCAATACATCCTGTGAAGTGTTTTGAGGGGTTCTCCTGGCAGGAGAGGTGCTCATGGAAGGATTATTATTATTATCTTGTCTGTGCTGTCTTTTTTCAATGGGCAATCCATTCAGACCTGCATTTTCCCTCTCCCGCAGAATATTGCTGCTCTAGATATCAGCCGACCCTCTTCAATGCCAGTGTGGATTCTGCCTCGACCACCAACAGGGCATTCCACATACTGATAACTTTCCATTGTTTTAAAAAAAAGCCAAATCTATGCCTTTTGCTAGTTATTTGAAATCATGTTAATGGTCTTTATGCTGAGATATTTTGAAATTCCAAACACTTCAAAATGTTCACACTTTCGTCTATTATCTCTTATGTTTTGAAGCTTTTTTTAATATATATATATTAAAAAAAACGTTTTGGGATCAAAAACAAATCCTGGGAACACTCAGCAGGTCAGGCAGCATCTATGGAGAAAGGAAAGTGAGTCAACATTTCGGGTCCACGACCCTTTGTCAGAAGCGCTTTGAGACATCTTGACGACGTGATAAGGCGCAGTATCAAATGCAAGGGTTATTGTTGTTGTTATTAATAAGTTTCAAACTTTTTCTGAAGCTGCATTGGATTCGAAAGTTTCCTTTCTGATTCTTTTCTTTTCTCCTCTGTGAAGACTTGAAATGCTGCAGCAGATTGCCACCAGAGTTCAACATGACAGCATAGCATGTGAGGATAAACTGACACTGGCTCACAATTCACTGCAACTGGTAAGTTCAGGTTAAAGCCTAGCACATCCCTGTTACCCTTGCAGTTGTCAGTCTGGCTTAGCTGGTAGCACTCGGTACTCGGTGTCAGAAGATCATGGGTTCAAGCCCCACGATGGTTCTTTGAGCTCCCAGTCTGACATGGCTCTCCCCTGCAGAGGAATGCTGCATCGTCCAAGGTCCCTTTGTGAAAGGCGCTATTTTTAGTGTGAATTGTTTTTGTTAAACCTGCCTGTTCAGGTGGATGTTAAAGATCCCACAACACGATTCAGGAAGAGGAGGAAGTTTGTCCTGAACACTACACATGACCTTAATGACCGTGAAGCGATATGAGGCATTTTAAAGTTAAGAACAATGCAAGTTGCATCGAACAATATGGCACAGAAACAGGACACTTGGCCAACTCGTCTGTGCCAGTGTTTATACTCCACGCAAGCCTCTATCCCTACTATTCTCCTCTCCTTATACTCCTCCACTCCCTTCTCCCTCAAGTATGCATCACTTTGTTCATCGATTGCGTCTTCTAACAGTGAATTAAGTCAAGATGATTTGACATTGTACCCAGAGACGTTACAGCTCGACAATATTGGGTACTGAATGCAATCAGGCTGCTGTAACCGGGTTTGGAATTTTTCTAGGATGCTAAACGGCTGGATTCGGGACTTCAGTTTCAGAACGAGACGGAAATTGCTGGGTATCTCCTGGAGTCCGAGAATTTGATCCGCCAGCAGATCATTGACGTGCAGACTCTCATCGATGGAAAGTATTACCAGGCAGACCAACTGGTTCAAAGGTAGGAACCTGGATTTGCACACAACTTCGTGAGCTTGTGATCCGGAGTAATGCCTAAACCTTGAAAGAGGAAGGTTATTAAGGGATGTAGAACAATATGTTAGGATTCACCAAGACAAAAGAACAAGATTAGAGTTGGGACTGGCAGACACCAGGAAGTTTTTCTAATTAACGACTGGAACAAGTGGCCAGGAATGTCCACATTTTAAAAAGAAACATAGTTTGATGGCTTGATGGGAAGGTGACAGGGTGAGTATTCTAGGAGGATGAGATGAGGTGGGTTGAAGAGCCTTCTTTATCTGAACTGGTCTTGTGAGAAAATCGCAATCAACAAATCTGCCGTGATCCCAATAAAACAGAGGGGCTGGTTGAATGGCTTAATCCTGTTCTTGCAGAGGAGAAAGGTGTGAGATCTCATGTCACATTCGGTGTGTTATGGAATGTGCTACAGGGTGGACAAGTGCAGTATGTGATGTGAAATTAATTATAAATATAAATCATATTATAAATATAATAGGTGTTACTCCACTTCACAGTGTATCTTATGAAGCGCTTTGAGGCATCTCAATTACGTGATGAGGTGTAACGTAAAATGCAAGGATTATTATTATGTTTGACTGTGCCCGCTGTGCTCTCTCTCTGTAGAGTTGCCAAGCTTCGTGACGACCTGATGTTGCTTAAGTCAGAGTGCTCGTCGGTGTACAGTCAGGGACGCTCCATGTCGGCCGAGCAGACCAAGCTGATGATGGCGGGACTGACACAGAGTCTCAATCAGAGCTTCTCCTCTGGCTTCTCCCGGAGCTTAACCCCCACCTTCAACTCCAGCTCCTCTCTGAGCCTGACCCCCAGCCTGACTCGCTCTTTCGCTCCAATCCTGCCGCCTAGCCTCCCTGTCAGCCTCTCCTCCGGGTTAAAGCCCGTCATGATGCACGGCTTCATTTCGGGGTTCGTCCCCGGTGTGGACCCCGACACACGGCAAACCATCAAGCTCATGCAGATCAGGAAACCAATGATGAGATCCCAGTTGGCCAACCAGTCACTGACAGAGGATGAAATCAACATGAAGTTTGTTCAGGATCTGCTGAGCTGGGTGGAGGAAATGCAGGTAAAACTGGTCAACAAGGCATTTGATAGCTTTCGGCATCATCCTGATCCTAATGTTCTTTCTGGTGTAAATGATTCTTACCAATCTACTTTCTCACCCTGACATGCTCACATGCTCGCTCTGATGCACGTACGCACGCTCTCCGTGAAGCACATGCGTGTTCTTTCTCTCGTATGCTCTTTCTCTCATTCTTCCTCTCGTGTTCTCTCTCGATCCAGCATTCGCTCCGTCTCTCGCGCGCACACACCCGCTCTCACGAATGAACACTCTCTCAGGCATGCGTTGGCTCTCGTGCACACCACCCATCAGTATTGTTCTCTGCCAATGATGTTGTTTATTTTCCTGAAACGTCTTGAATTCCTTTAACCAGGTGCAACTCGACCAAGCAGAATGGGGGTCAGATATGCCGAGCGTGGAGAGCCATTTAGAAAATCACCGAAATGTCCACAGAGCCATCGAGGAGTTTGAATCGAGCATCAAAGAAGCTGAGTCAGCCGAGGTACTGAAAGGTCCCAACCTGTCCCTCAAGACCTTCCTTGTTGACCGTGCCTTCGGCCACACTCCCATCCTTCGCTCGGGTGCAATCCCTTGACTGTCCAGCGCCTTGGTACATCCTTCTGATGTGAAAGGCATTATATAAATGTAATTTGTTATTGTAATGGTAAGTGTCGTTGGCGTTCACAGTGACAGTCACAAGAAATTAAATGCCTTGTGATATGGCGGAGAGGAGCTTGCAGTGGCTGGGGCCAGGACTGTTGCTTTTAATATTAAAAACCATGTTATAAATCGGGAGGATTCTCTTAGACTATATACCATTTGCACCCACACTGGTGGGGGGGAACATACCAAAGTGCTCGACAAAGCTAGCTGGGGGTAAGAGACGAAGGGTTTGTGTAGGGAGAAAGATGACCAAAAGTGCAGTCAAAGAAATACGGCATGAAAAATGCAAGGAATAATAGTTTTTTTTCTTGTTATTGTTGTTAAACAGAATCAGATAACATCCCCTCTTAAGAACGCTTATTCTGAGAAGCTGAGAATGCTTGAGAGCCACTACTCCAAACTCCTGGTAAGTCCTTCTGGCTTCCTTCGTTGTCTCAGGATAGATTGTTACAGCGCAGAAATAGAGGGTGAGCCCCAACAGTGCAGTGGATAGAGAGCTGTAACTTACGGGCCAGGAGCTCGCTGGTTCGAATTCTGATCTGTGCTGAGTTTGCTGGTCTCAGCTGAGGCTGCTTGGGGAGGTTAGAGGACTCGGGTTCGAACCCGGACAGGGCGAAATTTAGGCAAGTTTCCTTACTCCACGTGCCTCTGTTTACCTAGCAGCAAGTAAGAACCCAATTGTTTGTCGATTGGCGGATCGCTTTCCAGAATAATAATAATGCGGTCACGCAATCCATGACTGCTTGTGGGACACTGCTGTGCGCAATTGGCTGCCATGTTCCGTCCGCAAAATACAGTCAATATTTTCTGGGAAGTGCTTTGAGGTGACTTAACGACGTGATAAGGCGCTGTATCAGATACAAGGATTATTGTTATAAATTGACCCTAGTAAGAGAGGTGAAACCAGCCAGCGCTCCCTTCACCACCCAATGCTGGTTGTGCACTTGGGTGGCAGCTGGTTATGTGGCAGACATAAGGCTTGGCTGTCAAGCTCACTGATGCTCACCCTCAGGGCTCACTCGGGTGGTGTAGTGGAGGGTTATCACTGGTGCCTGTGAAACACTATTCCAGCGAAAGGAGGCAGGAGCAGAGAGGCATAGTCCAATAGGGATGATATAAGAAAAAAAAAAAGCTATTCAATGGATTGGGTCCGCACTGGCCTTTGGCTCCATATGAGCAGCAATGAGATGTCAGCTTTCTAGCGCTTCAACTTCTGAAGACAGGATAACCCTGTAACATGGTTGTTGCATGCAGACGAGAGATTGCGACCCCTAATACACTGTGTCAGCCATTTTCACAGGAAGTAACAACCCGGAGACCATTTTCGTAGGAAGTGATGTCATTACCCCCCCCCCATGTTTGACACCGGTCACTTTCTTTCTTCCCTCAATGATGCTGAATTTGTGTGTTTGTTTCATTAAATAAAAGACGACATCCAGGCACCGTGCAACCCACCTAGAAAGCCTGAGAAGCTTCATATCCAGAGCGACCAAGGAGCTGATCTGGCTAAACGAGAAGGAGGAAGAGGAAGTGGCTTACGACTGGAGTGACCGGAACTCCAGCATGCTGAGGAAGAGAGAATATCACTCGGTATGAGATGGACATGGTTATACAGTTGAAGCATTGACAAGAGTATTCAGTGCTTTCAGATGTCAGCCTGGCTCAGTTGTAGCACTATCGCCCGTGTCAGAGGCTTTGTGTGTTCAAGCCCCAGGTCGGGGCTTTCAGCAGCATCTGATAATCTAATGCAGGGGTGGGGGGGGGGTGTTGTCGCTGTGTCGAAGGTCCTGCCCTTTGGATGAATGTTAAAGATCCTATGGCACAATTCAAATAAAGAAGGGATTTCTCCCAGTGTGCTGACCAGGTAAAATGGATCATTCGCTTCATGGCAGATTGTGGAACCTCGCTGTGTGCAACTTGCCTGCCTCGTTCGCTTACAAAACGGATGTTTTATTTCGCGGTTGGCATGAATCAATTTTTGTGTGTGTGTGTTTCAACAGGAACTGATGAGAGAGCTGGAAGATAAAGACATGCTGATGAGATCAGTTCAGGACGATGCAGATCAACTTCTCCTGGATCACCACCCTGCACGGCTAACCATTGAGGTGAGGGTCCCCCCAGGGCCAACCCGCATGCTTCACTCCCCTCCATTGGCAGCGTTGGTTACTGAGGCCTTTAGAAAGCACTCACTCTACATGCCTCGCTGCTGACAAGGGTTCCTTAGGTTCAAACCTCATTTTCTCAGTGGGGTTAGAAATCTCGGTGCACCACACGGCCTCTTAAGCCTTTGACTTTCTCGCCTGAGCCCAGTTATTGTGACTGTGTGTCGTGCAAGGGTTTCCTGGAGAAAGCTCACAGATGGTTTTGCTGGCAATGGCAGGCAGACAGCTGTCCTGTGACCCAAGTATAGAGTTGTTGCAATATCAATGCTATGTGTTTTGCGTGATCGATGTTACATGTGTATATGATTATTGCTATGTGTGTGTGAGTGTATGTGTGAGTGTGTGTGTGTGTGTGTGAATGTCTGTGTGTGTATCTGTTCATCTTCCCTCTTCTGTGCTCAAGTCCCCTTTGATTCACTGTCTGTGGCCAATGTTAAACATATTGATTTATTTCAGGAACATAAACTCTGCAATAAGGTCCGAGCCTTTTCCTCTCCAGTGTAAACATTCCATGTTCTGCATCCATGTAAGAGAAGGGATGAGGAAGGGTGGGAGCTTGTGTGGAGTGTGAACACCAGCACTGTGACTGTTGGGTTGAAAGCCTTGTTTCTGTGCTGTCACGTTCTATATAATTTCCTTGTGGTCTGAGGGAGGGGATGAGAGAGAGAGAGAGAGGAGGTGGATGATGAGTGGTGGCTTCCTGGAGTTGGGGTGACTCAGAGCAGACATGCTGGGTGAAGTCTAGCAGATTGTACAATGTTGCCTGACTTACCTGGTTCATTAATGAGATGTGATGGTGTGGACATGTCCTCATCCCTCTGCGTCAAAACTCTGACAGGAGGAGCATCCTAGCTTGGGCAAGTGCTACGGAAATTAACCGTAATGATAAGGCTGCACGTTGCCATATTGTTTCTTACAACAATTCCTACAAAATATAGTCAGTGTAATTTACAGTATATCCTGTGAAGTGCATTGAGACATCTCAATGACGTGATAAGGCGCTATATCAAATGCAAGGATTATTATTACTACTTATGCAATGAACAATTCAGCAAACCATGCACAACACAAAGGGGAACAACAAGGAATATGCAGCAAACCCCATGAAACACAATGCACAACACCACAACCATACACAACACTACAAACATACAACACACAACACTACAAACATACAACACACAACAAAATTACATTTGTATAGCGCCTTTCACAACAGCACAAACATACAACACACAACAAACCCCAAAACAACACGGCATACAACACGCAACAAACAGTGCACAGCACAGCAAATAATAACACAACAAACAACCCCAAAATAATTTGGTTCATACAGTACCTTTCATGTCTGGAGGACTTCTCGAAGGGCATCATCCAGTCTGAGCTGTGGGAGGGAGAGAAAGTTGTGGGGGGGGAACGGGAAAGGTAGCTAAAAAGAGATTCATCTTAAAGGTTGGGATTGGAGGGAGGGAGCACGCTTACTGATGGAGGGTGGATCAAGTGATGGACCTTAATGCTTGTGGTATATCTGCATTAATGGAAACAAAATTCTTTTATCTTTTTAAGGCTTTCAAAGCTGCCATGCAAACCCAGTGGAGCTGGGTGTTACAGCTTTGCCACTGTGTTGAGCAACATCTGAGAGAAAACGCAGCATATTTCGAGGTGAGTTTGAGGCGTAAATGTAAGATAGCCACAAGAAGATCTAAAATAGAGTTTAGGAGGAGGCTTTAGGACGAAGAGTGGGTGGTGAAAATGTGCAACTCACCGCAAGACTCTGTACTTGAAGCAGAAAGAAGCAATGTGTTTAGCGGAAACTTGAATATATGAGGGAGAAGAGAATAGAGGGGTATGTGGTGGGTTTGGGGAAGGCCTGGGAGTTGGTATTCAAAGGGGTGGAGACTCATGTAGGGATTTAACCATGGACTAGTCAGGTCTGTTTTAGTGATGTAAGGTCTACGCAAAGTTATGTTCCTATTAACAATAAACTAACTGTGATGATAAATGACGACGTGGCAAGTGCTCTCGTGGCTTGAGGATGCTGCCTTCATGCCAGCTACAGGGGTCAGCTTGGCTCGGTTGGTAGCAACTCTCGCTTCTAGGTCAGAAAGTTTTGGGTTTAAGCCCCAATGTACTCGTATTCTAGACTGACACTCAAACGCAGTACCATGTCAAGCATTGCATTGTTGCAGGTGCCATTCTTGGGTTAAGAAATTCAACTAAGGTGCTGTCTGCCCTTCTTCAGGTGGACATTCGATAGGTCCTTCTTTTGGGTGGAGGTGTTGTGGCCAACAACCCTCCAGTTAAGTTGGCCATTTACCTCATGGTTGTGTGTGGGACGTTGTGGCTGTGGGCAAAATGGGTGGCTACATTTGTGTACAACACAGTTGACAGGATTCACTGTAAAGCACTTTGAGGTGGGTTCGAGATAAATGATCCGAGTGAGTTAACATGTGGGCTGTTTTGCCACTTCCAGTTTTACAACGATGCCAAAGAATCCCTGGATTACTTGAAGAACCTACAAGAGACAATAAAGAGAAAGTACAGCTGTGACAAGACCAGTAGCCTAGTCCGCTTGGAGGACCTACTGCAGGATTCCATGGTAAGAGGCAGAGTGTAAATGACCAGACACTGGGAGCTGGAATTCTTCCCATTGTGTTCTTGTTAACCCTGGTAGCCAATGCCTTTACAGGTAGGATGGTCCTTGCTGGACAAGCACCAGGAAGCTTGCCAGTCATTACTGCACGGTTTTAGCTGGATAAACTGCAGCAGTACCCCCAATGCACACACTAGGTTCCCCAAACCCTGGCGCTTGCCAACCAGCGTCCCATATTCCAGAATTGACTAAGTGGAGAGAGTCCTGAGAGGGCGTGCGTTCCATTTCAAGACTGAGAGATGTTTCCCTGCAAATATGGAAGTCAGTGTGTGGTTCGGAGCACGGGGATGGGTTTCCGCACACACACACACACTGGCTGATCCTCTCAATTTTTTAAAAAAAATAATGTTTTAAACTTTTGTTGAACTTTTTGGTCCTTTTCTCAGGCGAGAGCGAAATGCTGGACATATTCAGTGTGTCCCATAAACGCCGCTGTGTTTCCTGTCCCGCGAGTGTCGCTCTTGTTGCCCTGCTCACTCGTTTCTGGTTGTTTCCACCTTCAGGATGAGAAGGAGCAGCTTCTCCAGTACAGGAGCAACGTGGCGGGTCTCATGAGCCGGGCGAAGGCCGTTGTCCAGCTCAAACCCAGGAACCCTGACAACCCGCTGCGGATTTCTATCCCCATCAAAGCCATCTGTGACTACAAACAAATCGAGGTGGGTGGTAGGCCAAGCGGGAAACCAACACATCTTTTAAGTTGACAACAGCGTTCTGTGGCGTTCTCATTTACGTTTTTTTTTCTTCACTCGTTAAACATGGCGAGAGTTTTCAGCAGCTTGCACTTGCGTGGCACCTTTCACACCTTTCACAGAGAACGTCTCCCTTTGAGACAACTTCAGAATCCTTGGAAGTCATTTAAAAAGTTTGTATCTTGCTGAATTTTTTTTGCGTTGGTTATTTTTGTGGAATCCGACGTGAAGGGTCGTTGTGCAGGACTCACTGAGATACACGGATGTGATTTTGGTGGGTGTAACAGAGAAATGGCAAGTAAATGGATTGCTCATTCAAAGAGCCAGTACAGACACGATGAATGCTACCTCGTGTGAGGGGTCCTATGTTATTGCAAGTTGTTGTTGGACCAAATGACCTTCCTTTCATTAGGGAACTGGAGGAATGAAAAGCAGAGGGATGTAAGGAGGTCCCTGTGAAAGGAATGAGAGCAGGAGGTGGCAGAATGGGTCTTGGTTGTGAGGGTACAGAGGAGCGAGAGAATTATAAAGCAAAGGAAGAGGGCATAAAGATAGAGATTGATATCCAAGGCTTCACTTCATTGAATTACATAGAACTTACAGCAGGGAAACTGATCATTCAACGCAGCAAGTCCATGCTGTTGTTTAGCCTCCACATGAGCTCTCACTCCTCCTAATCCCCTCTTCTGAAAAACTCTCTTCCCTTCTCCGTCGTTCATACATCAAATTTCCTCTTAAATACATTGATGCTTTTTGCTTCAGCCACATTCTCACCACCCTCCTCCTAAATTCCCTTTCAAGATCTACTACACGGCTGTCTTATATTTAGGCTAATTTGGACTCACCAATAAGTGGAATCCGCCTATTAACTTCCATCTTATCAAATCCTTTCATAATCATAAACACCTCCATCACGTCCCCCTCGAAGTTGGGCTCCCCCACTATTAAGCTCTCGGAGATGCTGCCTCGCATGAAGGACACTATGTAAGGGCAAGTTGTTGTTGAGCTTCATCCTAAACTCCCTTATAGATTTCAGTCATTACCACGGAGCAATTAGCCTGGCTATCAGGAGGTTGTACAACCTAATCATAATAATAATCCTTGCATTTGATATAGCGCATTTCACGTCGGGAGGACGTCCCAAAGCGCTTCACAGAACACACTGTAAAGTGAATTGACTGTATATTTGTGGGCGAACGCGGCAGCCAATTGCGCACAGCAATGTCCCACAAACAGTCGTAGATTGAAAATGACCAATTTATTATTGTTTTGGAGGGATTATTATTAACAACCTACTTTAAGGGCTGTTTATTTGAGGAGGAAAATGAGTGAGCGGCAGCGCTGTTGGCTCAGGCTGACACACTGTGTGATCACTGATCACCACGGCGGGTCTGGATGACTCAGAGAAAACATGCAATTAGACTTGCGGCAAATTACAGGCTTTGCAGCATTTTCTATTTAAACTCTGCTAATTTGCATCTGCTGGTATGCCGGGTGGTGTAATTATACTTAGCAGATGATTGCTAGGAAAAATGAAATATTACCAGCAAGTCTCTGGACCCTGTAAACAATTTTTATGGACCCATGCTTCTTTGCATTGTAACGCATTTGCGTGGGGGAATGTTGTCAAGGCAAAGGACCTGCTTGATTTCCCTGGTCCCCAAAGTTGATCGGCAACCGTGCCCTTGTCCATCACACACTAAACCTCCCTACCTTAGTGTCTCTACCTCATATCTCCTTTCTCCCCGGCTCCACGTCAAACTCTGCCACTTTTAAATGCTCTGAGACGGTACCCTGTGCGAAGGACGCAATATGAATGCAAGTTGTTTGCAAGTTGATGTGTTTTGGCAAGTAGGACACCCGCTTGCTCATCAACCCACACAGACACAGAGAGAAGCAACGAGGACTGGAATCTCATGTGGTTTTGCCTCAAATATTGCCTTAACATTTACGTTGTGCAGAAATGTCTTTAGACCAGTTTTGAAATTCGGTGCAAATTTGGAAGCTATCTTTCTGCTGTTCTTTTGGTTAAAAAGAGGAGAGAGAGAGAGAGAGAGAGGAACTTGTAACAAAGCTGGCTTCCGAACTAACACTGAAGTGAAGGGTTTTCCAGAATTTTGCACCATCAAAGTGGTTGAGGCCGGGCCGAGAGAGATTTTAGACCTCTGACGTGAGAAGCTGAGGCAATCGCGGTCATTGTTACAACAACAACAAAATTACATTTGTATAGCGCCTTTCATGTCGGGAGGACGTCCCAAGGCGCTGGACAGACAGAGTTTCGGACCCGAGCTGGGGGTCGGGATTGGGGAGAGTGGAGGGCAGGGGGTTATATATAGTATATGTATAGTTACAAGGGAGCGCTTGTGCCCTCTGGTGACTGTCTTGGAGATTGCAGATCAACTGCTATTCTCACAGGCCCCTCAGACCTATGGAGGGAAGTCTGTATAATGGGAGTTTGGTTCAATTTATGTATCGGGAAATGGTGGTTATAGAGGGGGAAAGAATGAGAGTGTGTGTGTGTGAACGTACAAAATACAATAGTGAAGGAATGCCATAGGTGTTTTGTGCTCCATAATTGAGACTTGAGTTTATAGTCCAAGTTAACGCTCCAGTTTAGTGTTGAGAGTGCTGCAACAACAGCAATAATTTGAATTTATACAGCCCCCTTCACACGAGATGACCTCTCGTAGCACTGCACAGGAGCGGGTTGGACCCTGAGCAAGGGAGAAGGGGGAGGTTACCATAGGCGTGGTTTTAAGGTAGGCCTTAAACGAAACATAAAGAGTTTGAGGTGGAGGGATTGAGACGAGGCATTCCAGAGGTTAGGAACATAGTGGGTCTGCTGCATTTCTGGACGATGCCTTCCTTTAGCTTAGTAATTACATTGAGGGGAAAAAAATTACATTGATGAGCCATCTGCCTTTCCTCACGATGCTATTTTTATTTGGAAAGAGAAGGGAGTTTGTCTCCATGCCTTTATCAAGATTAATTGATCATTCTCCACCTGGTTGTCTGTCGGACATTGCTGGCAGAAATGGTTGTCACGTTTTTTTTTTACACGAGAAGATGTTCTAAAGGTGCATGAAAATAAAAGGAATATTTGCTTTACAAATGCTTTCTAAAAATCTGAACTTTTTTTCATTCAGATGAAAGAAGCAAGTCTGGTATTTGTTAAATCCTAGGCCCTCGGGATAGAGTATGTTACAAGTTTAAGATTCAATGCAATCTTGTTTATTTGAGATAAAATTGCTTGAGGAGGGCAAATTTACAGGCCCATGGGGAGAGAGCGGGATTAATTTGGACAGCTTTCAAAAAGCAGACATGGGCCTGATGGGCTGAATGACCTCCTTCTCTGGTGTATAATTCTATGGTTCTATATGAAGAGATTTACTCTGAATAAGACTCGAAGAAGGATTCTTCAAGTCTTAACTCTCACCAACCTATGCCTAATTCTCTCCTTGGAATTGGGTAAGCACGGTGCTTTCCACCAGAGAGAGAGTCCATTCCAAACTCAGGGAAATGTCTATATGTAGGTAGCATACATATGTGGAAATCTGTCTGGTTTGGATACTCTTAAGCATGGTGATTGTTTCTATCAAACGTGACTATTTGTGGGACACAGCTGTGCGCGATTTGTTGCTGCATTTCGCCCACAAAATATACAGTCAATCCACATCACAACATATTCTATGAAATATATTCTATGAACTCTCAATGACATGACAAGGCACTGTATCAAATGCAAGGATTATTATTATGGTGATGGGTTTCTGCATGTGTCGGACACCTGGACGACCACAAAAACAATCAACTGTTGGGAGCGAGGCTGCTTTTATGTGGAGGAGACTTTTCATTGCAATTGTGTTTGTCAACAGATAACAATCTACAAGGAAGACGAATGTGTCTTAGAGAACAACTCACACCGTGCCAAGTGGAAGGTCGTCAGCCCCACTGGCAATGAGGCCATGGTTCCTTCAGTCTGCTTTACAATCCCACCACCAAACAAGGAAGCAATTGAGAGAACGAGCAGGTGAGGGGAGGTTAACACAGCAAAGCACCCAAAGTTCATTCCTTCCACAGACCGGACAAACCCTCATTAACCTGAATTATGTTATCAACCGATCCGTGTTATTGTAATCCCCTGTCAACAACACCATTTATGCTTCAACAACACCAAGATTACATTTGTATAGCGCCTTTCACGTCGGGAGGACATATTACTATATGGTGAGTAATACACCTCCATTTGCACAAGGTTACATAGTGCATAATACACTTCTATTTCCACTTGGCTTGCACATACTTCACAATATATCTCCACTTACACATAATTTGCACAACATGCAAATCCCTGACTGTCCAGCACCTTGGGATGTCCTCCCGACGTGAAAGGCGCTATACGAATGTTATTTTGTATTGTACCCCCCCTTTTCTACAAGTACATTTCTACACTTCAGTAAACACAAACATATAATTGAGGTTCATTTTTATGTCTTTCAGAATTGAGCAGCTCTATCAAAACGTGCTGGCCCTGTGGCACCAGTCACACATAGACATGAAGAGCATCATCTCCTGGCACCTCCTGATGACAGAGATTTCAACCATTCGTGCCTGGAATGCCTCCTCAGTGAGTAATTTTCCTGTATCCATTAAAATCAGCATTGTATTCGAAAAAAGCCTTCACGTCTCCTGTTGTCCTGGCCAACAATCCTCCAGAATGATTTAATCGTTCAGGCTCTTGCCAACCTGTGTCTAATACTTTCCGTAAGCAGGATACGTCCCTCCAGGGAGAGAGTGCGCAATCCATTCCAACAACCTATCTCTGGGATTTCCACGTGTAGGTGGGATGCGTTTAATTTGGATTCTTTTAGGCACGGTGACGGATTTCCATGTGTGTCAGACACGTGGTTCACCAAAAAAGAAATTATCTGTTTGTGGGACATCACTCTGTGCAAATTGACTGCCATGTTTGCCAACAAATGCACAGTAATTATTGTAAAGTTTTTTTTAAATACAGTGCTGTGAAGGATAGGTTTTGAAGAGGCAAGTCACGTATTAAGGCAATCAGCTTCTAGGAGGGGTTACCACAAAGTGTGGTTTAAGAAACTATAGGTTTCCTGCTGCGGGCAGACAGGAGGATGTTGTTCCTGAAGTATGAGATCAAATGGGCAGCAAGGCTTTTATTTATTCAAACCTCTGTTGTGTTGATCTTATGCGGATGTCAGGTGAGGACAGGCTTACGTTTGTTTGAATAGTTTGCTGACACTTACTGTCTCACTCAGAGTTGGGTGAAGATAGGAAGCGAAGAGAGCTCTTTCGCATCTTATCTCTTCCTAATTCATTTGTTATTATTTAAGAACAACTTTCATTTGTTTTAGTGCTGTTCTTAATGGAGAATGTCGCAAAGCACTTGACAGAAACCAAGAGATAGAGCCTGAACTGGGGGAAGAGTGGGGGAGAGAAGTAGGAGGGTAGGTGTACAGTCCAGGAGAGAGATTTTAAGAACAAAGAGGGAGGGAATTTGGGAGAGAATTTCAGAGAGCGGGGAGCAAAGTGACTTAAAGTTTGCTCACTGATTTTGAAAATAGTAGGTATTGGGGACTGTCAAATTCATATGATTAAATCCAAGAACCATGGAGATTTTCGTCACAGAAGAAAGCCATTCAGCCCATGTTCCTGTGTGGATCCATTTGGTCCATCCATTTCTATTTTCAGTGGCTTGGGACAGCTTCCCGGCATGAAAGGTGCTATACAAATGTAATTTGTTGTTGTTCTATCCATTTAGTCCCACTCTATTAGCAATGCATTAAATCTCTCTCTGTGTCCTTTAATATCCTTACTTACGAAATTTCATCTATTTATTTCGAAATACTTCATTCAACTCCATCGATGGTTGCCTGAGGATCTCTGTCCCATGTGCACATAACAGCTCGACCAGTGGTTTTCAGCAGCTGTTTTGCATGTGTTTTTTTCCACAGATAAAGACCATGCTTCCCGGAGAACACCAGCAAGTGCTCGGCAATCTCCAGGACCACTATGACACCTTTTTGGAAGATAGCCAGGAGTCAGATGCCTTCACCATCACTGACAGAACCCAGCTGGAACGAGAGGTGAACTTCTGCAAGCAATATTACGAAGATCTGCTGAAGTCAGCGGAAAGAGGTAAGAAGGCAGGACAGTACCAACACATGTTCCATGTTAAACTGCTGTAACAATTGTGCGTGTTTGTGTGTGTGTATGAACTCTGTACATGCATTGCAGATGGTATTCTCTCTATATATACATAATATATTATATAATATCAATTATTTATTTACAATATATAGTCATTTAAAAAATTACTGCACAGAAGAAAGCTATTCATCCCTTTGTACCTGTGTTGGCTCTTTTAAGAGCAATCCTTTCATTCCCACTTACCTTCCTTATCCCCATATCTATGTGGTTTACTCCCTTTTAGATATTTATCTAGTTCCCTAAATCTGTATTAACCTCACAGAAGGTATTTTATTAAATATTTCTATATATGTGTATATATATATGAATATTTAGAAGTATAGGCGTAGATATACGAGTCCATTGTACAGTTGGGTGACAACAACATTAAATATTCCATGTTACTGTTGGAAAAGAGAAGGGAGTTTCTCTCTCCCAGTGCCCTGGCCAACAATCCCCCAAATAAAATTGGTCACTCACTCCATGGCTGGTTGTTAGGACAATGAGGAGTAAGTGATTCATGTGGCACATTAACAAAAGGCACAAACTGGTTGTGCTAAGTGGCCAGTTTCTGCCATATCACTCTATGTAATTCCACTGGGGGAACACAGCATGCTGGAGGCATCAAGCTGTGATACCAAATACAATTGCTTGTTCCTGCTGTTTAACACATTGCACGCACACAACACACATACATACATACACACACTATATACACACACACACACACACTGTTGCTCTTGTATTTTTCTATCCAGTGTTCTTCAGAAGTGTCCAAATTAGTTTTCTTCTCTCTCAACCTTCGTCTGTTTTAAATCGATTGCTTTGCTCTTTGTGTTGAAACAGAGGAGCAGGAGGAATCCGCCTGTAACCTGTTCATCTCGGAGGTGCGGAACATCAGGCTGAGGGTGGAGAACTGTGAGGAGCGACTGATCCGGCAGATCCGCACACCCCTGGAACGCGACGATTTGCAGGAGAGCGTCCAAAGAATTTCCGAGCAGGAGGTCAGTCTCATTCCCCCCCACCCCGCCCCCACCCCGAATTATTCTTATGATATCCTGTGAAGAGCTTTGGGATGTTCTTCTGACACGAAAGCTGTTGTACCGGATGTCAGAATTATTATTATAACAGTGGTGAGAATGTGGTGCTTTAATGCTCTCATGTTCAGTGTTCTCTTCATGTGGAGGAATCTGGATGATGGGCCTGATTTACAACAGCAGTGGAATGTGGTCCTTCGGATGAGATGTTAAACTGTGGTCCCATCTGCCTGTTCAGGTGGACGTTAAACACCCCGTGGTACTCTGCAAAAAGATAAGGGAGTTTTTCTTGGTGTCCTGGCCAACAATCCTCCTCACAATCACCCAGAAATTGGTCATATACTTCATGGTTCTCTGTGGTTCATTGCTGCCCAACAATTGGCTGCTCCTTTCGACTATTATATATAGTTCATGTTACTGCAAATGCTTTGAGACGCCCACCTGTAGTTTTGTTTCGTCGGCTGGGTGTCTGACGGAAACACATCACCGTGCTTAAGAGTATCCGAACCAAACTGAGGGTTCCCAGTTAATGTTGCAAAGTGGTTCATTGAGGTGATAGGAAGCTTTGTTGATCAAAGAGTGAGATTCTTAAGAAAATTTTGAAAGCTTAAGAAAGAGGAAGATCAAGGCATTCGTGTGGCAGCAATAAACAAGGTAACAAGGTAAATAGAATGCTGAAACCAATTGAGTTCAGTAACTCATAGTCAAGCAATGTAGTTTTCTGGTAAGACCGCAGCAAGAGAAACGGCATATAGTTTTGGTTGCCACAACACAGCAAAGTTTCCCAGGCTCTAGAAGTAGTGCAGAGAAGAGCAATGAGATTGATATCCAGTGATAGGGGGATGACCTGTGAGCAATGATTAGACAAGCTCTTCATTCTTGAATTGGCTCCTTATACAAGCATGTAAGGTTTTAAAATGGGATTGAGAACCCAGAGCATTACTTTTGGACGCAGCAAGAGATTATAAGTTTAGAATTGCAAAGGGCAATTTCAAAGAACATACGAATTGCTGGATGAAAGAAGACCAAGGTCTATCCAGTTTGCCTTCCACCGTCCTGGCAGTCGCATAACATGTCATGTCCCAAACTATTTACTGTATACCGAGATATTATCTCGTAAAAGAAATCTATCCAGTTTTCTTTTTGAAGGAATCAACACTTTCTGCTTCCACCATCTCCCTAGGGAGCCTGTTCCATAAGTTTACAATTTACTCACTTTACAAATTCCCATTTCTTTACGCAGAGGGTAATTAACGACTGGAGCAGGTTGCCAGAGAGGGTTACTGAGACCAGGCCATTGGAATCATTTCAAAACAGCTTGATGCTGTGATAGAAACTCAGTAGGGTGGGTGTTCTGGGGGGTTGAGATTAAATGAGCCAAAGGGTACACTTCATCGAAACCAATCTATTTACGTGCATCTTATTGATCATTTTTATGCCTTTCTGTACTGCCAGAAACTGAAGAGCGAGCTGGAGGAGCTGATAGTGGACTTAGAAAAGGTGACTGAAAAGTGTGATCAATTCTTCGGACAAACCTGTTCCTCCTCATCACCAACCCTCCGTACTGAGCTCAACGTTGTGCTCCAGAACCTGAACCAGGTTTATTCACTGTCCTCGATCCATCTGGACAAGTAAGTCATCCACACTCTTGTAGCCTGTTCCGTCGTTGATCAGATCATGGCTGATCTTTTAATCCCCATTTCCTCGCTTTTGGCTTTTGTTCGTGCTGTGAAGTGTCAGCCTAACTCAGTTGGTAGCAATCTCGTTTCTGAGCCAGAATTTGTGGGTTTAAGCCCTACGTCAGGACTTTGAACTCATGGAGTCTAAACTTAAACTCCATTGCAGTGCTGGGAGACGTTCCATTGTCAGAGTTGCTGTCTTTCAGATTAGCCATTTAAAAAATGAAGACCCGTCTGATTTTTCAGGTGGATGTTGAACACCCCACAGCACTATTCAGATAGAGAGAGAAGTTTCTCATGGTATTCTGGTCAACAATCCCCCAGATAAAATTGGTCCCTCACTTCATGGCTGTTTGCAGGACATTGCTGTGCGCAAATTGGCTGCTGGGTTTGCCTATTTTACACACAATCACTACGCTGTTCGGCAAATTCTGTGAAGCGCTTTGAGACGTACTGCTAGCATGAAAGGTGCTATATAAAACACAAAGATTGTTATCATTACAATGAAATATTCCTTGTGATTTTAGGTTAAAGACTGTGAATCTGATTGTGAAAAATACCCAGGGAGCGGAGGCTCTGGTGAAACTGTACGAGACTAAACTGGGCGAGGAGGAGGCTGTGCCACCTGACACTGAGGCCATTGAGTTCCTCCAAAACACACTGAAGGTATTGGGCCCCTTTTCCTGGGTTCTCCTCGCTTCACCCTTTAGAAGCTCAGTTGGTCGTCTCTGAGTCAGTTCAAGCTTCATGCTGGGGCTTTTGAACTCATGGGCTCGGCTGAGACTCCAACATAGAGCTGGGGGGTGTGTTGTATTGTTTGAGGTACCTGTCCTTCAATTGAGACATTAAACCAAGGTCTGGTACCTGTTTAGCTGGACATTAAAAATCCTGTTGCTCTATTTGAAAAGAGAAGGGACTTTCTTCTGGTGTCCTGGCCAACAACAATGGTCTTTCATTTCATGGCTGTTTGCAGGACATTCCTGTGCACAATTCCTTCTGCCTTGCACGCTCCTTTATTTATAAAACCCCTCAAAAAATGAACCTCTTTGTGCCATCTCCCTCAGACTTTCCACCCTACCCATCTCCAATCCAGGTGGAGCCTTTGAGACATTTAAGTACATGAGAGTAGTTCTACTAAGCGCAAGTTGTTCTTGTTGCTGATGATGATCCACATTGCCCTTGTAAAGCTCCTTGAGGCCTGTGTGAGGGTAAGTTCTTGGTCCTGTTAAAACTCTGATGAAAATTCTGTTTTGCTGGAGACCCTGACCTCACCCCTCCCTTCTTGCAGCAATGGCGCTCCGAAGTGGATGAGAGAAGGGAAGTGTTCCACACCCTGGAGGACGAGCTGCAGAAGGGGAAGGCCATCAGCGAGCGCATGCTGAGGGTGCACAACGAACGGGACATGGACGTGGACTGGCACAAGGAGAAGGCCGTCCAGTTAGCCGAGAGATGGGAGAATGTTCGGTGCCAGATTGATAACCGGTTTGTGACCATTTGTGAAGTTGTATTGGTGGGAGGGTGTGGGATTGTGGGTGGGTGACAGTAGTCCAGTCACAGTCTAACTAATGGTTCACCTCGTCTCTCATTGGGTCCAGCAGACCAACGCCCAGAATGGTTTAAAGTTCTCGTGATGATGGAGCAGATGATAAGTACCGACTTCTCCCAGTTTCCTGGCCAAAAAATCCTGCAGGATTATTTGATCGTTTACCTCCTTCGCTGTCTGTGAGAAGTTACTCTGCCCCCAGTGGCTGACACATTCCCTTATAAATAGTCACTGCACTTCACAGAAACTTTTGAGGCGCTTTGAGACGTTCTCAACAGTATCCACCTATATCAAATGCAAGGATTATTATTAGTGGTTCTTGTTGTTGGTTGTTCCTCCTTGTGTCTGTTCTCCTTGGAGGGAGGAGGGGGAGCAAGTGGGGTTTCCTTGGAGCTGAACTGGCTCCAAGGAGACACTTGTGTGACCCCCCCAAAATTATTATTCATTATTAGTTATTGTTGTTATTACAAAGCATCTGAAAGTTTGAGCTTTAGACCAAGACATGGTCACCCAGGCTAATATGGTGCCTTTAATGATCATCCAGGCTGCACGATCTGGACAGCATCAGCATGTCTCTGAACAGCTACAGAGAATGTTACAAGGAGCTCGACCTTTGGATCCAAGAGATGGAAATCACTCAACAGAAAATGCAAGAGAGTCAGCCCGAGGACATCCGAGCCCTGGCCGAAGAGCTGAACCAACAAAAGGTAACCTTCTGTGAAGTGCTTTGAGACGTCTAGAAGACGTGAAAAACGCTATATCAAATGCAAGGCTTATTATTATTATTATTATTCTGGAACCACCCAGCTACAAATCGGATGCAGANTTTTTTTTCCGCAGGTGTTATCCTCTGCAGCAGTACTCCATAGAAATGTTATTTTTTTCCAGCAAGACCTTTGTGTCAATGCTCTGAAAGGCTACCACGGGGCGATGGAGAAAAAGGATCGGGAATTCAAGACGTGTCGATATTCCATTTAACACGCTTTGTTGACTGAGATTGTAAACCAGATCCTTGCATTCTATTGCAGACGCTGGCTTCCGAGGTCGAGATGAAACAGCAGAAAATGGACACGTGTCAGAAATATTCCGAGCAATATTCATCTACCGTAAAGGTGAGAGGTTTATTGAGTTTTTTTAAAATCTCACTCCGAGCCACAAATGTGTGAAGTTGTGACTTTTCTTTGGCAAGGTTCCGCCGATGAGAGTGAGTCTTAAAATTGTGAGATTGCGCAGAATTGAGTTATATTCTTGAGTCCACTCTTAATTTGGATCCCGGTTTTCCGCAGTTCTTGAAAAGTACCCGTTTCTAAATTAAGAATTATCTTACATTTACAAACAGAACAGGTCTTTCAGGCTAAGACTAGATGGAGCCTTGAACCTCATGTAATAAAACAAAAGCTCCCCCTTGCCCTACCCTCTATATTGCTGTTGTTTGGAAGGAACAATGGAAACGTTTATTGATTTAAAGCAACTGGTGCACCCACAAAGCAAAATAAAGGTGTGATTTTTGTTTCTCTCCCTGTTCTGCCCCCCACCCCATATTGAAGGAATATGAGCTTCACCTGATGACGTACAAAGCCATGGTTGACTCACAGCAGAAATCCCCGGTCAAGCGACGTAGAATGCAGAGTTCCTCCGATGTGATAATCCAAGAGGTAATGATGGTCCAGTAACCTTGTGTGTGTGTGTGTCTTGTCAATTGTCATTTACGAGCGTGCTTTAAGTGTTGAACTTTGCATTTGACTTCAGTGCTGTTTTATTTGTGTTCCTGTTTAGTTTATGGATCTTCGCACCCGCTACACTGCCCTGGTGACTCTCATGACGCAATATGTCAAGTTTGCCAGCGACGCTTTGAAGAGATCCGAAGAGGAGGAGGTAAGATTGGTTTGGGGAACGACTCATCTTGATGCACAAAGTTTGATTGTCGGAGAATCCTGCAAGCTCCCACAAGTTGCTGGATGCCAGCATTGAAATCATTTCAGGGACTGAAGCAGAGCTCATAAACGCTTTCAAAAGAGTCCATAAAGAGGGGTTGGAGAGCGAATAGGAAAGTGGGATTAGACCAGGTGAGTCATGGAGGAATAACACCAGCACAGATCTGAGGGGCTGGACTGTCTCTATACTGTAACACTCTTTGTACAAGTACTTCACAGGTATTGTCTGACACAAGTGAGTGAAACTGTAGGATATAAGTCATCTTCATGGCAGTTTGTGGGACGTTGCCGTGTGCAAATGGGCTGCTGTGTTCACTTACAAAAGCCACAGTCATTACACTTTACAGTAAATCTTGTGAAGCGCTACGAGACGTCCTCCCGACTTGACAAGTGGTGAATCAAATGCAAAGATTGATAATATATATGATTATAATAATAATAATGATCATTATTGCAATCTCTGTTAGTCTTGGCTATACCTCCAGAGGGAGCTGTCGAATGAACACAGGCCATTTCTCTCCAGGGCTGAAGCGGAGGGAGCCCTCTTCTCCGGTTACACTACCGAACACATCTGTCTAGTCAACTTCGAACTAGCACTGGGAGAGGCTTGGGAACCAGTTATCTGTGTTGCTCTTTTGTCCACAGGAGATGGGTTGCGTTGGGAGATCGGAAAAGGGAAAAAAGTATGGAGATGGGCAAACCTACAGGGGAAAATGTGCCTTCTTAAAACAAAGTACCAGATTGCTTAAGGCTCTCTTGTTTTTCGAGGAGATTTTGAAGTCTGCATTAATGTACTCGATGCGTAGTTGGGATTTTGTTGGTGCAGTGCTGCCGTCTGCTGTGGGTGGTGGTCATTACACTTTGCTTCCTTCCTTTTCCATTGTGGTGCATGAAAGTGCATGTTGATGCCAAACCTCCCTATCTGCACTTAACATAGAGATGGTCACCCTCCAGCTGGTGAAATAACGTGACTAGATTAGACACCAGTCAGCACAAAGCAGCTGTTTATTGTGTCTTTGCATGGATTTGGGTCAAGTTGTCTTTACCATGCAACCTCCTCGCTGTCCTGCAATTAAGCTGTAATGCGAAATTGGGGGATTGTATGTTCTCATTGCATTTAGATACAATATCAAGGTCTGTAGCCTTGGGTGGCAGGATGCTATATATATCTATAGATTTTTATTTTGAGGTATATTTTATAATTATACATTATACAGTCCGTGGTTGCACTGTAGTTGATTCTGTGCAATGCAACATTTAAGTTAACACCTTGCTTACACCCACTCTTCCATTCACTCCCTGTGATCACCAGGCTCTGTCCTTGACCTGTGACCTTGTTCCCTCCGTTTCCCGCGTCCCCCCACTCCATCGGCGGCCGTGCGTTCACTATGCCCTGAGATTCTAGAACTCTCTGCCTCAGTCCCTCCATCTTGCCCCCTCCTTGTTTGCCTTCAGATCACACCACGAAGACTTTCCTCTTCGACCGTGCCTTTGCGCCGGTGGACGTGACATCAGCCACACTTTCTGCATGTCGTTCTACCACTTTTAAGTGCTCGGAGACGCCTCCCTGTGTGAATGAATGAAGCTGGTTAATGCAAGAGTGAGGAAGCACAAGCACAGACATGTTGCTGGCTTTTGATAATGTCTTTCTCCCTCTATAGTCTACTTTGTTCCTATGCATCTCTGGGACTAACAATGGGTATTCTTGCCCGGTCTTAAATATAACCACACAAACCTATGGAACTTTGAAATGTTTCTATTTTTAAATCCCACCTGAAAACCTATCTCTCCCACCGTGCCTGTGCTCATCTCCGCCTCCTCCCTTGCTTGGTGTATGACCCTGCCACTATATTTGTGGAGTCCTGTAGCTCAGTGGTTAGAGCACTCGCTTTGCAAGTGAGAGACCTGAGTTCAATCCCAGGCAGAGAGCGAAACCTTGGGCAAGTTTCCTTACTCCACACAGAGCCTAATAATAATCCCTCCAAAACCAAAAACAATAATAAATTGGTCATTTTCAATCTACGACTGTTTGTGGGACATTGCTGTGCGCAATTGGCTGGCGCGTTCGCCCACAAATATACAGTCAATTCACTTTACAGTGCGTTCTGTGAAGCGCTTTGGGACGTCCTCCCGACGTGAAAAGCGCTATATCAAATGCAAGGATTATTATATTATTATTATTATATAAAGCGCTCCCAGATGTTTTCCTATGGGAAGGGTGCTGTATGAATGCAAATTGTTGTTGTTATGTGGTTTCTTATTTTGTAGGCCTTCTGGTTGCTTGATTCCTCTGGTGCATGACGGTGAGGAAGTGCATCTATGGTTCTTATAAAAACATACATTTCTGCACTTCCTGGTGGCTGTTCAGACGAGCACTGTTGGCTTGTCTCCCCTGAGTTTGCAGGTTGTGTAGTTAGCATGTTGCTAAGGAACCAGAGTTAAAATGCCAATGTGAAGTGATAACGGTTGTTCAGAGTTTAATCCCCTTTGCTCGGGTTTGCCAGTCTGCTGCGTGAAGCGCTTTGAGGTGTCTTCCTCATTTGCTGTGCAAATGTGAATTATTATTGTTGTTCATGTTAGGACAGGTAAACTTTCCAGGAGGGGTTTGTGATCATTGTCAGGCGCCCGCACCTGGGCTGGATGAGAAAACTGAAGTGATATCAGCAGTGATGTTTGTGCGCAGGGTGCGGGAAGTGGCATCAGCCACACTTTGTGTAGTTAGCGCACAGAGCACAGGACGTGACATCAACCACGCTTGATGTCTGTAGCGAGCAGGAAGCAATAATCTCGAGGACGCAGGCGGTGGCCATTTTGTTCAGTGCAGGAGGCCAAGTATAGCGTGGATCCACAGGACACCCGCACTGTAAGCTCTCATGTTTCTAGAGAATCCTGCTCCGTAAACAATAGCTTTTGTGCTTGGCAGTCACTGGTATTTGCCAGAGAGAGCGTGAGATGCTCTATCATGGCTTCCAATGGGCTGCTCAGGCTTTGGGTGTCTGGTGAAGGTTCTTCCCCTGCAATGTTAACTCTTAACAAACTCTTAATAGGTTAAAGCCTTAACAGGTGCCTTTGACTATCGGCAGTGCTTGTTTCTGGGGAACACGATGACTTATCTCTTTCTTGCGGCAACATTTCTCCCCTCCCCACCTCTACCTCCAACCCCGACTCTTGAGTGTTTTGTTGTCTCACCAAAGCGATTGGTTTCATTTTGTAGAAGAAAAGGTCGCTGGAAGATTCGGCCAAGTTAGGGGGTCACGGACAACAAGAACAGCAGCAAAAAGAACAGCACCAGAGGCAGCTGGTGGAGGCATTAGGTGATGAAAATAGGACTCTGATGAAGAGAGTCAATGCCCTGGAGTTGGCGTTGGAGATGCTGAAGGATGAAAAGGAGTCACTGGGCCGGGAGTTGACACGAGTGTCGGGCGCTGCGGAGGCTGAGGGCAGGAGGCAACGACAGGCTGTGGAGGAGATGAGTTCCCGCAGGGTGGAGGCCGAGCGCGAGACCAGCCGGTGCCGGGCGGAGCTGGAGAGGGCGGTGGAGGAGAAGGCCAGGAGCGGGTGGGAGTTGGAGCGTCTGCAGCAGGCGCTGCTGAGGGCCGAGGCCGGGGAGGTCACCTCCGAGCGAGAGCTGGAAGCCCTGCGCAGGGAGGCCGAAGAGGGAGTGTCAGCGAGAAGGAGGCTACGGGAGGAGCTGGAACGGAGGGGAGTAGAGCTACAGGAACTGGAAGAGCAGAAGCGTGAGCTGGAGAAGGACCTGCGGCTGCGTAAGGTGACTGAAACTGAGACAAAGTTGAAGGAGGGCCCTGACACGCTGAATGTTGTTCGTCACATAGCATCCACACTTGTCGTTCGGAAGGAACACAACCACCTGCAGACCGACCCCCTCTGGGAGGAGGAACAGGCCACAGAGGCCGAGGCTCTGAGGCAGGCAGTGGCCGAAGCCAAGTGGGCCAGAGACAAGGCCCGGAAGGATCTGAGGAACCTGCAGTTTGAGCTGGACTTCCTGAAGCAAGACAAGGCGCTGTCGGAGCAGACGGTCTCCGCGCTCAGGGTCCAGCTGGACGGGGTGAAGGAGAAGCTGGGGGTGGCTCAGGGCGAGCTGGAGCGGGCCTACAGCAGCGAGCGGGAGAATGGGCTCCGGGCCGCGGAGCTGGAAGAGCGTCTGAGGAAGAGCGAGCGGGCGCTGGAGGAGCTCGGCCGGCGACACGAAGGCCTCTCACTGGCCAGTCTCGCCGCCGAAGCCCAGGCTCGGGACCTGAAGGACGAGGTAAAGTCGATCCGCCGGGACAAGGCCACATCTGAGAGGGAAGCCCAGCGCCTCGGGGCGGAGGCTGAAAGCCTGAGGGCCGAGCTGAGGAGGGCCAAGGAGGAGCTAGCCCAGAGATGCCGCGTGTCGTGGGAGAGAGCGCATGAGCCAGCCAAGAGCTGGGAAACGACGGAGGAGCTCACTGGTTCTTACAGCTGGGAAGAAAATGGTGTCTTCACTCCAGAGTCAGAATCCGACCTTCTCCAGGCGATGGAGAAAAATAATGAGCACATGGTGGTGGAAACGGTGAAGATCAGGCGGGCGTCAGAGGAGCTGAAACCGAAGGTCTTTGAGCGGAGCCATGGGCCGGAGCTGGGATCCCAGCCCACTCTCGGCAGCCCCCCGGTGAACACGGCAGTTCCCGAGCCCACGCAAGCCGCCCCCATGGTGAAGCCGAGATCCAAGCTTCACAAAACTTGGGAAGAGCCAGGCTGGAAGGTGGACACTGAGCGGACGATGAAACAGCCGGAGAGCGAGGTGGCAAACCCTCGCTGTGTGGCCCAGGAGCTGAGGAGGCAAGTGGGAGGGTCAGAGCAACGCAAGAGGGAAGGGGCTGTGAAACAGGGCAATAACCTGCCTGGAGAAAGAGGGCAAGAGAGGGCCTGGAGCCAGGCCCCGGCCTTGCAGAGAGGCCA